AATAAATGATAGCTCGACTTTATTATTCACAAATTATATAATAAATTATTTCCAAATAAATGGATAAATGAATTTGTAAATTATTGCATTAAATAATCCGACTAAATATATTGTGATATTATTAAATTTGCACTGATGGAAAATAGTGAAAAAGAAAAGTTCTCCTACTGTCTATATAATACAACTTCCCATAAGCAGTTGGTTGATTCTCGTACAGGCCAATACAATATCTTCAGTGAAGTGAAAGCACACTTCATTTTCAGAGAGACGACTCGTCTCTGCACAACCAATTCGAAATGCAGTTTACGATTCTGAAATGTATTGCCTGCTTTTACAAAGGTGGAGGCACGTTTCACAAATAAAAGTGTTTATTTCATGCAGCACGAACCATTCAGGAACAAATAAACTGTAATTTATGTTTTCCTTTCCGACCAAATGTTATAAAGAAATGATTAGAAAAATTAAATAAATTCATCGCAGGAATATTAGACGTTACTTTAACAAATACAATATATCTTTTAAGCGGACGCACGGTGTTCATTATATTTACAAGAATTATTCACTGCTTTTAGCTAATGAATTAATCAAAATACATACTTTCTTTCATATTAAAACAATTATTAATGTAAAACTGTAACGCATAAAAAAATTATTGTAGCATTTGTAAATTTTATGTTACACCAAATACTAATATTCGAGTGAAAGCTTAACCCCAGACTAGTGTTTGAAATGCATTTTTATTATTGTTCACACACCTTTTTACAGATATACATCCGTGAAACACGTTCTATTGGATGATACAAGTCGATAATACCAAGGTTGAATGCTAAATTGGAGTTATAGCCGTATTATAGCTATCGTAATATGAGCAAGTAAAGACGATCACACCATTTATTTTCGGCATTAAAATGTTACGGAAGCGATCAATCTCATGCGAACGGTAAACAATAATTTACATTTCCGTGGAAGGAAAGCTCTAGCACTCAAGAGGAAACGCAGGTCTCTATTTTATGGAATCGTTCCAGATATCAGCTTCTGGGAAATTACGCAATTGCTTCTCAATTAAATTCAGATTTATAGCCGTGCCGAGCTCACGAAAAACGAATATTCGACGCCTAAGAGAGTCGGGTACGAAATATTTCCTCTTTGCCTGCTTAATCCTCCATTGACATCCACAATTCAAAAGCTTGGGACTAAGAAAACGAGAAAAATAGTGAGGAGAGGGTGAGATTTTGTGTGTGTCCGTGTGTGCGCGTGTGCACGTGTGCGCGCGTGTGCGTGCGTGCGTGTGTGGGTGGGTGGGTGGGTGCGTGTGTGTATTTTAACGTAATATACAATATTTCAATAGATTTGTGCAATTAATTTTCCGTAAACTCCTGTTATAATTTTGAGAGAAACTAGCTGTACGGCTAAATTTAAACGTCAACAGTAACGTCATGCTAATCTCTTTTCTTGTTTGTAATTTAGAGCTTATCAACGTCAAGATATTTTTTTATATACCGAATTAAGAAATTAACTTGATATTTATGCTCAATCTTATCATATTCATTATTTTCGTTATTCTCCATTCCAACCTCTATATATATATATATATATATATATATATATATATATATATATATATACAGAAACTAACGAATATCTTAAAATAATAATTCTTCGATCACGTCACTATAGTTCATTTCAATTATCATTAAATTTTAATATATTGAATGATATAGAAAATCTCATTACACATTATCCTTTCAATTATTTTAAATATTTAATATTTCTTATATAATTCAATAGAATTTAATATGAATAATTTTGGAACTCTATAACTTTAGTAAGATTGAATCAGTAGAATTAGTAATCAATTTAACATTTTTTCATTGCTCTAATAATAATAAAAAAAAATAAATAATAAAAAAAAAAAATAGAAAAAGATGAGAAAAAAATTCAAGAATCAGACTTTTTTTCTTGTCTTCCATGCTAACTTTCATTTGAACTATAAAAAGTTTTCAACACAAACCAACGATCAACGACAAAAAAAAAGCGACTCCCGGGTGAAATTGAAAATATGTTTGCAAAAGCAATTGGCTCCTCTCGCTCATCTTAAAGTTCGTAGCGACAACTTGGATTTTTAATAAATGCGATGTAAATACGGCTCCTCCCGTCGACCTTAACGAGTCGCAAAAGTCGAGAGCCGACGTCCTATAAATGGAGACTAAATGTTGCTGACACGTTCGCTTGACTACGGCTTAAGTGGGTGTGAATGTGTTGGAGCCAAAGTAATTATGCAAAAGCACAATTCGACCCAAGTTTCTCTTTTCACTTTTTTCGTTTGCAATAGACTTCGAAGCGAACATCCGAATTGCGGGAAACGAACAGCGCTGAGTCTCATGGGAGTCAACGATTGGCGTTCGATCAATTTTACAAAGACGCTTTTTCATTATTCGGAGACAAAATACTACGGCCAATTGAGAACTATTAACAACAATTAGCATATGATATGAGTAACATAAGTTTATGTGGACAATTCTTGATATTAAGCATATATAAAATCATAAGATTATTACGTCCTTTACTTACTGTGCTGCATTAATGAAAGTAATTATAATTAATGTTCCTAGAAATTGATAAAGATAATAATTTTACGGATAATAATTGAATCTAAGAGTTGGAATATGATGCAATGACATAGAAGTGAATTTCCATTTAACAAGAATATTAGAATAGCAATATTAGAATCGAGGAGGCAACTCTTATTTCTCATTATAACTTTAACTTTTAGAATAAATGATGATAAATTTAATTACGTGAAAATAACGAATAAGACCAACGAATGGCAGGGGAAGGTAGCAGGAATATTATCATTTCAACTGACGAATTAAATTGCTTCGAACAAATGCGGCAAATCAGGAATTATGAGCTAGACATTCGGATAACATGAAATTGAATGTACACATTACTTTTTCAGTAGTAACTTTATTCCGTAGGATTTTTCAAACTTATTGAGTTAATCGTGCAATAATAATTAATATTAGAGAATGTTTATTGGCATCTAATAGAAGATTATTTCAATAAATATTTTATATGTTAATAAATTCTTTTTTTAATAACTGCCTTCACTCATTGAAAGCAATAATTTGAATACTCTTTTTAATACTTTTTATTTATATTTATTTATAACGTCGAAAATATAATATTTGTGTTAGGAAGTCTAAGACAATGGATACGAAACCAGACTAAAATTATAAATAACTTATATTTCAATTTATATTTATTGTTAATTTACGTTACTTATGCAAGACGGGTAGATAAATTTTTCATTTATAAAAAGCTCTATAAATAACATTATTTTAAAAATTATCGCAATTAATACATTTTACTTTATTATTATTTAATAAACGTTAAAAAGCGTTATATGATACATTCAAGTATATTTATTTACTCTCACGATCTGATTAATTGCAAAGGTAAAATTAATTCACAACTTAAACTTTTCTGAATAATCAACAGGTCGTTAATTTATATTCTTTACTCTTTTAAAATTATAATTAAGAAAAAATACCGATATTAGTTAGATTCATTTTTAGACGTTTATGACATTTAAGAACGAAGACAAAATTTATATTCACGGTTAACGAACTTTTTTTAGTTGTGCTTCGTGCTCTTATCGTAGTTACTATTTTTTTTTTTTTTTTTTAACCTAACAAAATCAAATCACAAGCATATGAAATTATATTTTAAAAAATATATAACATAATAAACACATAAATTCAAGCCCAAAGTACTTAGATAGACTATGTCCTATATTTTCAGTATTAACTTAAATTATACAAAAGGACTTGCTTACACTTAAAATTACAAGCAATCATATCCTGTTCTAATGATAAACTTTGATTCTACATAAAGATGATATAAACTTCATTCAAATACGAAATACATCTAAAGAATTTTTTTTTTACATTCATAATTAAATAACAAGTTAGCTATTAATATTACAAGAAATATTAATAATTATTATATTGTTAAATATTATTTACAAAGAGAGTACATAATTTTAGGTTTATTTTATTTTTGAAAAATATATACAAACAAATATATAAAATATATCAATGAAAAATGAAAAACAAACGTTAAATATTAAATAAATAAGGCTATTATTATAGATTTATAATTTTTATTGAATATCCATCTAATACAATATAATTGAATTAAATATTTTATAAGTAGTAGAGTAGTTATAAAAAAAAAAAAAAAAAAATCAGTATAATTTGGCACTAAATAATTTTAACAAGAATCGAACCAAATTCTAAAAACAATGAAAATTTTCTCATTTTATTCATTCAATTCGTTCCTAATAATAAGATAACATAAAATGTCTAAACATTTTTCATTATGCTACCTATAAAGACCAGAAGTCTTTAATGAAAGAGATAAGAATATAATGATAAAATTTCTGCTTTATCGCTTTAAATTTGCCAATATTCTATAATCAGTTGCTAATATCTATTTTGTAAATATCCAAATATACTGAAAATTCATATAATTTCGTGATGAATTATATTAGAGATATGAATAAATTAGAGATATGAATTACAATAAATAATCTATATTCCATATTGTGTCGGTTTCGTTTTTGTTTATATCATTGAAAAAAGCTATACTTATCGATATGAATTACTGATCAATAGAATTATGAAATCACAAAATTATAATTAGGAAAAAAAATGCTTTTGAAATAATTCTTATAAATTATAGAAAAAATTGTCGTAAAAATCATAGTAAATATTCCACAAAGGTAACATACGTTCATAAATTTGATTTCGCGAAACCTTATGCATTTATCTTTGAAATACTTATTTTGCTAGACAAACGAAAATTAAGGTAAATAAGATATTCACGCCTCAGCGTACATCGGAGCGGTCCACTATAGTAGTATTTGCGAAAGCCCTGATTCGTTGGGGAAGAGAAGACCAAAGTGAAAAGAACTGAAGCACTTCATTATTTTTCAGGTGCACGCGTTAGGAATATTTGCTCTAGCGAATCGTGGTTGCCGCCAAAGAATCTCGTTCTCGCCATAGTCGCGGAAGAGTGAACTCTCCAACTTCTCGGCCAAGCTCACGTATTGTGCATGCACGTATCCTTTGACATAATATTGCTCCTCGTGCAAGAAGAGCTAGCTTTAAGGAGGGAAGCGGAGCCAAAAGAGACGCAACGCTACACTGCAGGTTTGTATTCTTAGGAGTTATAAATATTTTTGCCGTTATAAGACGGGGCGGACTTCCAAGAGGCAAATCTCAACTACTCAAGTAAATAAATTTAAACTGGTCTCGTCAGTATGGCACTTTAACCACTTTCGACTTTTTTCTAATAAATTTACAAAGCGTTACTATTCTGATCTTTCAAATAATCATTTTATCCAAAATTTACTATTATTATCTTCTTATACATTTAATAAATGCATACAAAATATATATACATATATATATTCTACATCAATTTCTACACTATAATAATGAGATGAAAAATAATTAATGATTTATTATAAGTATATTTGAGACCTTCACACCATATACATTTTTTAATTCATATTGTTTTTTAGATTTTTTACAACTCAACATTAAATGAAAAACTTGAATTCGAAACAATGACGTAAGTAAATAGCCACTAGTTTTTACAGTAATATAAATTAATATTACAATTCATTAATAATGAAACAAGATTGTTAATGACAGCATTGTTATAAAAAAAAAAAGAAAAAAAAAATATAATTATATTTTAATGATTAATTATTAAACTATTTTTAATTTTGTTAATAAGAATGTAAATGTTTAAACTATTGATTATAAAATTTAGTTTCATTATAATTATGTTTTATTTAATATTATTAAATATATAGACATAAATTTGTGGTCATAGTGTGTGTGTGTGTGTGTGTAGATATAAAAAAAATCATCAAATATTCATTGACCTAAGATTTACTTTACTTGCATTTTCAGAAAACAGCAAAAAAAAAAGGGAATAAAGGAGGAAGCATCGATAACTTTACGTGCCAATAAGAATCGTTGTATAGGACCTTGGAAGCTTTGAGAAAAAGTTGAAAAAACTATGATGAAACGTAATAAATTACCAAAAATAACTTGGAAGGATTGAAGAAGAACTATTGAAGAAATATTATAGACACATAGGTATATAGAAACTTTTACGAAGGAACATATAAGTTGCTAGAATGATATAAAACGCTTTGCACTTCACAAGGAGCAGGCACACAGGCATATATATATATATATATATATATTGTGTATTGATAATTGTTACCTCGTTGCTTCCGTGCTCAACAAAACATATCATAAACTTTCAATTCATTAGAAAAATAAACTATTCTAAAGTTCATCCTACGTTTATGTGGCTCGTAGCTTAATTGTTGTATTATACGGGTATTTGTTTAATATATTTATTAATTTTATTTATATGCGATAAGCGAGCCAATAATTAACGAGCAATTGTCACTCAGTTTTAAAGATTATACATTGTGACGATAACTACAAATGGTGAGGAAATTTTATTGAAAATTTTAATATAAATGTCTAAGCGCTGTATATTGGTGAGAGTGTAGTAGATCGATTTTGCTATTCCCAATAGAAACTTCACATAAAAGACGGAAAAAGGAAGCTTGATTATCAGAAAATCCTTTTTAAATTTAGGAAAGATAAAGTTTCAAATGATGGAAAGAAAAAGTAGCGGAATGAAATTGATAAAGCGACGAAATGCTGTTGACTAGAAAGTGATGGGATGCTAAAACCGTATGGATGCTCGGATGGAAAATGTAAGATATTTAATAGAAAATAACGAAAATTCATGCATGTTGTCAGTTACAATGTCCGTGTGCATTATTATAAGTATTAGAGGAACTTTGAGCCGTGATATCGGCAAACCCTAATGGATTTGTTCTTACAGGCGAGTAAGGAAAATAAGTGTTTGTACAGTCTGAGAAGATCGTTATCGTTAGCTCGCTTTGGCGAATATTAAAGAATAAATTGTCATATAATTTTCAGTTATTTCAATTGATGTTGTTGAAAGTTACCACTTGAAAGTTAACTCCATTTGCAAGAAAGCTCGAAGGAAGGAAGCTTTATAATTAGAGTAGTCAGTGAATTATTTCAGCATTGTAGTATTGATTTATTGATACAGACAATAATAGATCTTTGATTAAGACCGTATAGAAATAATGGTGAGTTAAATATTCGATTAAATATAACCTTGAAATTGAATTGAAAGCAACGATAATAGGAGTTTCATCGAGAAATGTTTAATAAAACTGTACACGAATATTTTTCTGCTTATTAGTTATTATTAGTAGGCATAAAGATAAAGACTTTGTCGGTAGTGTCTAATACTATGGACACTCTAAATATTTAAATAAATATCTGTACAATATTTAAATGAAATGTTTAAAATTCATCTTAACTCTTTGTTCTGTGCAAGCAGTCAGGCGTTGCCGTGGCCAATTGTTCGGTGACCCTTTAATATCGTCGTCACTGTCATCGAGGGCATGCAACGTACATAATAAATCTCGCGAAAAATCAAAGGCACTGCGATAGTCGGAGCAAGCACGAGAAAGAAAGAGAAAAAAAAAGGAGAATCTGTGCGTAAGAAATCTCCCGTAAATCAAGCAGAGATATAAAGTGGCGACGAAGGCGCGAGCGAATGCGAGAAAGGAAGGGACGAAAGTTCGAAAGAAAAGATACAAGACCGTACCGCGGCTGAATATTTATAATACACGAAGGCGTCGGTTGGGCCAAAGAGGAAGGAACGTCGCGGATGCGAAACCCTTTCAAAGCCCCAACTACAAGAGGCCATGCATTACGACATAAAGACGTGGCCTGCAGTGCGCCCTAAAAAAATAGAATGACTTTGAGGAAGAGGAGGTAGTGAACATTGTGAGGCAGTGAATTCTTTGACGTGCCAAGTATTGTCGGCATTCGAGCGAATTTTATTAAAGATTTTTGTAAAATTACGCTATTTCCATAAATTACAGGGGATATTAATTACTAATATGTCCAATACTCTCCTACATCTATGTCCACTCGATCGTTAATAATGGCTGTGACGAGCGCCGATTGATCTAGTCGCCAACATTACGACGAATTAAGGGTAAGATAAAGACGAAATATTATTTTAATATCGCTTCTCGTGATTCCGATCTAATTGGCAAGGATAGAATTTTGAGGTTCCATTAAAATTTTTCTCAAAATTCGTTATTTATTCTATATGGAACGTCTAATATAATTTAATGTCCAACTAACGATCCAACTAACTAATTGCCAATGCTACTGATTATAACGAAGATTTTACTTTATTCCCTCGATACAAATAAGCATTGGAAAAAGATGGCAAAATACTCGAGCTATAGTCTTACTAATCGCATGAAAATCGAATGAAATCGTCAAGGCTTAAGGACTCGATCAATTTTTAGCAATTTTAGCAGCTCGAAAAGAAATCATAAAGTGAAGAGGCGATGCGATGGTGTGGCTCACCAGTGCAATGAATCGAGTGATGATGAGCGGTGACTCGTAGCCGACAAGAGCAACAAAAAAAGTGACGAGCACAGACGGCGTCGCAAACTCTAAACGACCATTACACATAAATTTGCAAGGACCTCAGGCCCAGCGCCAGGCTAATCACCCACACTGCGTGGGCGTCGCTTCGTGGGGTAAGAAGCGAGTGCTGAGCACATAATTCTCATGGCTGACCCCTTCTTCTGCTCTTTCATCATCCACTCATTGACGTATTTATGATTTCGTATTTAACGAAAGTACGCCAGTCCTCGTCGTCTTTATAAACTTTTAAGCCTAACAGCTTCCGGGAGATCGATATGGTAAGCCGCGGATGAAACGCTTACATTACAAATAGGAGGAAAATATTGTCCTGAATAGAGAATGTGATATACGAGTCATAATAAATTTCGTCGCTTAAGTTCGAAGTTAAGGCAGAAATAAAAATAGAAATTACTGGATCCTAATGATTAAATAAAACGTGTGACGGTTCATTATAATAGACATTAATAGTCAGAGAGTGTCGGCTGTAAATAAAGTCCTTGCAATGAAAAGATAATTAAACGTTGAAGATATTTTTTTCACAGATTTCACTATTAAAGGTGCATTTTAAATGCAATGAAATTTATATTATATACTTTTTTATTTGTTTATCAGGTCATGTTTTTCATTAAGATTAAGCAAGAAACATTTAAATCTTCTTATATCAAAATCGCAATAATCTAAGCTTATTTATATATACATATATATATATATATATAATTAGATAAAAATTCATAAATACAATTGTCTCTGAAGATCAATCTTCATTTATCTTTTATCTATATTCATGCTTTCTACAATGAAACTATGAAAAACTCATTATATCAATATTTTGTATAATCTAAAAACTAATGTTGAATATTCACTAAATAATAATATATATTTTATTTTAATAGTGGTAAGCTATATAATATAACAATAATAATGGAAGTCACTCTCTCTCTCCCTCTCTCCCTCTCTCTCTCTCTCTCTCTATCTCTTTCTTTGTGCGTGTGTGCCGGTGCGCGTGTATTTGAAAATTCTTTCAAATTTCAGTTACATATTACCTGCTATTTATTCCGTTATTGCTTTACTAAATTCATTTTCATAAAGATTTAGTATTTCGCTCTTTACCTATCCAGTGAAATAACATTGAATTTTTAATTATACGATAGTAATTCGTTATAATTTTATTTGCGAAATAAATGAATGCACTCAAATATATATATATATATATATATATATATATATATATATATATATTAATCGAAAGTTGTACATATTACGTACGTCAAATTTTTATAATAAAAAGAAATACTCGTGTTTTACCACTAGATTAGGTACAATAATTTTTTGACAAATTAACGAAATAATAGGATAATATTAAATGTTATTTATTGAAAAGATACGACGCGCCTATATTTCACATAGTGTCATTTAATACCAATTGATTATTGGTCGTAAAAAAAAGTACTTAGTGCTAGAAATCGGGTGTCATGCTCGAAAATTAAAAAAAAAAAACGAAGGAATTATTGAAATTTCATGCAGTAAACTTTCGTCTTGAGTATCGATGGGCTGGCTATGCACTTAGAATTTTCTCAGCATACGGAGTAAAATGTTTACAATTGATATGAAAGGAGCCAGTCACACCTGGCAGCCCCGTAATGTTCCGCAGTCTCTTTTTACTTATTATTCTCCAGTCATTATCAACAATGTCGCGATGGTGAATGAAGCCGTGAATAAAGTATTGTCTCCCGTGTCCTCCAGGAGAGGAGCCGCATGCGTACGGGTCGACGGGATCTGAAGAAGCAGCGGCTGCAACGGACATTGGACGTCGATCTCGCGGTCAAGGTTAAGGGCCTTTGCTACCTCTTGCCCCGCCACAAGCTCGTGAGGATGATCGCGGGGGCGGGAGTCGGTATCGCCGGGGGTGGTGCGGCCATGCTGCGCACCCGGCGTAGGGACATCAGTATCAAGCCAAATCGCAAACTCGACAGGAAGTCGTCGCGGGGCATGCTGTACGAAAACGAGGAGCTGCGCCTTCGAACCATAAACATCAACGCCGAAGTCGAGCAAGGTAAACATCTCCTCCTCCTCCTCCTCCTCCTCCTCCTCCCGCCCCTCCCTCGCCCACGATCCGCGCGCGACGTACCTGCGTGGCCTGCGTCATATTTACCATCGGCACCTACTTGAAATACAAGCGTATTTGCTCATTTTCCAGCCTTCCAGAGCGAGACGCAATTGGCAAATAAGTAGCGACGTTATTGACGCGTAACTCCCGCTCTATTATCCGTAATCTCCAAGATGAAATTCCACCGACGACATTGTGATTTTGGCGCTTCGCTCTACGACTCAGCCCCCATCGTTAACTGCCATAGACAAAAGCGCGTCGTTATTTATTATTAAGATTTGTTAATCGCTTAGTGATCGTTCTTGATTTAAAGGGACGCACACGTACCAAAAATATCAAACTCCACGTACTATTGGCCATCGCGTGATGAAACAATTCGACATTATTTAAAGATCCTTAGAGGGCGTTATTTCGGCCTCTACACCGATATGATCACTACTGATATGCCATACATCCTGACATATAACCACAATGAGATCTTTGCCAATCGCAATGGAGTATAATATCGTAAATAGCTACGGAAAATTCGTTAAAAGGATATAGAAAAAGGATTTAAAATGAAATATAGTGTACCGACCGCCCTTGTTTTAAAATAATCGACAGCTCGAAAGCTCCGTCCACAAGAGCTCGCGACTGTTACTTAGTAGACTGTTTGCCAATCGACGACGGGACGATAATAATCCACCATTCTGCTGCGAAAGGCTCGATTTTCAAGCTGAAGCGTTATCTCTGGCACTCACATTCGGCAGCCCAGCTGTCGCAGTTTCACTCGGCTAAAGACTTTTCAAAACTGTTCGAAAAAACGACGGTTCCTCCTTGAGGTGGAGGGTGCCGGTGCGCGGTCGGTGCGGCAGTTCGCGCGCTCCCGAGTCGGTATGCCGTCGCGCTTCCTTAATTACCAGCTCGTCGTGACGATGGCTCGCGGTGCCAAGCCATCGCCGGCCTCCATCGGGGTGAACGTGGCGAGGCAAAGCGCTCGAGGAAGGGCCGAGGGAGAGGCTCGATGCGTCTCCTCCGACCGCAAATAGCAGCGACCGTGTCCGAGTTGGAGTGAGACACCGGGGCGCGTGCCTGGGCCTATTTTCGATGGCCGTCGCGATCGACGACGGCGACGACGAAGTTGACGACGACAGCGGCGACGACAGCGGCGGCAACGGCAGCGAAGACGGCGAAGACGGCGAAGACGGCGAAGACGGCGGCGGCTCGAACTCGGGGCGACGTCCCCCGTGTGTCCAGTCGGATAGCCGCGGCCTCGAAAGTGCGGTCGCCTCTCTCGCGCCACCATTTTTTTACTCGCTGCTACGGCTTTCTTCCGCTCGCCCTTATCGCGCCCTCGCTCGCCTCGATCAACGCCGCGAAATGTTTACGATGAAAGTGCTGCTGCCTCCACGAGATGATGCAGTCATACCTACATTCTTACCTAGACTGTACGTAATGTTACGCCAGTGTTAAGTGTTGCGGCGTGCCTGTGACGTCAGCAGTCCAAGTTCTCGAATCCCTCCCAAATGCGTTGGCCGATAGGTGCCCCCTCCACCCTCCCCCTCTTCATGTCATCCTTTTTTTTTTCCTTCTTTTTTTCCTTTTTTTTTCTTCTTTTTTTTCTCTATTCTTCTTCTTCGGTTTTTATGCACGATTGTATGATTTCCCGATTTTCCCGGCCATTCGTCTACTGGCCAATATAGCGACTAGTTCGTTGCATAAAGATGAACCAAGACTGAAACGAGTATGATGAATTCCCTTTACGCTATCACCCATTGCGATATGAAGTTTTGTGTGCCAATTCCATAAATTTGATGCTCGAGTCATTCTTGGCATCTATCTTAATTTACAAAGTCATAAATAATCGATTAACGCAATTAAGCTCTTGACCTCCGCTCCTGTAAAAAATATGTTTAATTTTTCACCTCCGTACTTTTAGTTCGTACTTTGCAACGGATAAATCGTGTAGGAATTATTGGAAATACCAGTTGCTCGTGTCTCTTTCCCGTTTCTATGTGTGCGTGCGCGCGCGCGTGCGTGTGTGCTCGCGCGTCTCATAAAATCTCCTCGTGTATAAATTAGCTACGTACCAGTAATGCATGGCTACGTTTAGTATGTAAATAATCACTTCCATAAGCAGAGTACCAGCCAAAAGAGATAAAATGCATGTTCACTCTAATGTGTAGGAACGAAAGGAGTATAAAGAGGAATAAAAAGAATATGAAGCTGGAATCCTTAGGTCATTACGAAATAACGAACGTCCTCATATTATCTATATCAATTGAGAAAATCTTTCTTCCGTCATACGACAATTTTATTTCTATATAAAAAGATCTAAAAAATATACTAGAAATTATTCTTTGCTCCCAATATTTTGTATAGGATGACGTAGCCGCTGAAACGTTTCGTAGATTATTTCAACATTTTTTTTTTTTTTTTTTTTTTTTTTTATTTTTTTTTTTTTTTTTATATCTAAACAACCTTTTGGTAAGGAATTCTCGTATAAAAATAGTCGAATGCATGTAGATGTAGAATGTTGCTGTTTTAAAAAATCCATTATCGCGTGTATAAAAATATTGTAAACAAAATTTTTAAAATGTAATTTAACATAATTGAATTATACGTTATAAATAAATTAGTTTTCCAACACATCCTTACGAGCACATCGTTTCTAATTGGTGTTTGATAACAACATAGAACCGACTTATAACTCAATAAAGTTCAATTATATCGCAATACTAAATACTATCGAAATATTATATTTGCAGGGGCCGGATAAAGTTGCGATAGAAATTTCGACTATTAAAGCAAATTTTTAGCCTCTTAGTAATTATCGATAATACATCCTATCAAGAGTTAATGCCAGATAAGCTACAAACAGATTAACGCCAATGACAATAAATTTAGATAACAAGTGTGCAATCTCATCCAATATCTATTTGGCTAGATTAAACAAATTCGTTCATCCAAATATTTTCTCCTCCTCCATTACGTAGCTAAGTAAGAGCTTTATGTAGATGGCGCGGACTTCGTAATACATGTGCACACTAAACTATTACGAATCGCGTCACGCGCATTCTATCATATATGCACGTGTAGGTGTTCGTTTATGTTTCTACTTACCAATCCAATTATAGCTGCTGCACAATGACTTCTTGGAATACGTAAGTGATAAATAATTATATCGAGACAGAGAGAAAGCCTCTTAAAATTATGCCTAATGCATAATGTACTGATTTTCTATTGAAAGAATAGAAAAAAGAATAAGATAAAAACAAGACGAATTTACAGGTTACAATGGAGATATTAGCTACGAATAATATTGCGAATACCTTAAATCGAATTATAACACCCAATTTCTATTATTAATGCTTAAAATTGACAAGAAGAAAAATTTAATTAATATTTTAGCATTTTTTTGTTCTCCGTTTTCGTTTTATTAATTTAATTCTCGGTCTAATAGAAATTTATACGACAATTATTCATTTTAATAATTGGAAACCTGTAATTCAAATGTTGGAAATGAAATGTCCCGATATTTCTTTACGATTACATGTTTATAGATGAGCGTGCTAATCTGCAAACGAAATAATGATTATTTTTAATAAAATAATACAATTATATTAATAATATGTATCTACTCATATTAATTTTATTATCTTCCACTACTTTATATGTAAAGCATTTATTCCTTTTTAACAGCATTCTTATTAGTTACCCTAAAATTTCTAAATTAAAATATTTTTTAACCCTAGCGCGATAAATAACAAGCGCAATAAAAATCCTTAGTCATTACCATTTTTTTTTTTGCGGTGAAATAATACTTCAAACATTTTACTTAATCGATACTTTTAACAACGTTTTACATAATAATTGGGTATTGCTGTACAGTCAAGATTTCTTAAATTGGTTGAGAAAGTTTATATGCATATTTCACTACACTTTATAAGTAACATAATTTATTATGTTTAGATACCACGATTTTTTTTTTTTTTTTTTTTTTTTTTTTTTTTTTTTTTGTTCTTATTAAAAGCATGCAGGTATAAAGGATCTTATCTTTATACACTTATCATACTTATATATGATAGAGATAATAATTTATAAAATAAAATAAGCACTTGAAAGAAAACATTATTAACGATTTAAATATATTTAGAAACGAGATCGTATTTAATGTGAGCAAACGAGTGCGACAAGTTGAACATCTGCGATAACGACTTCAAAGCAATTCAGACTTTAAAAACAAAAGGAGAGAAACATTTATTTTGGGTGACATTCTGACTGAATATATCGCCACTATCTTTCATTTTAGGGGCAATGTGAAACTACGTTTTCCTTGAAAATGATTTTAATCGCTATATATATTTAATTTATTATTGGATTTGAGCTGTTACCAAAAGAAAATTATAATTTTTACAACAAAATCCAAAGATGTTCTATTATCGGCATAATAAAATAATAAATATAGAACGTGATATAATACTCGTAAATAATTTAGAACACTTTTCTATAAGATTCGCTAATATTCAGAATTTTTGGTCGGGAAAAAATATTTTTTATACGAGTAACGTTTTTTTTTTTTTTTTTTTTTTTTTTTTTTTTATTAAATTAACAATGCTAAAAAATATAGATTTTATTATACTATTAAGTAATTGGATTTGGTGTTGCATTTCATCGGATTCACAGCTCATTAAATATTTTAATTGATTTTATCGAATCGTGAAATGACTATCATTAATATTTCAAAATATTTGGACTCTTATTACTATTTAAATTATTCTGTATATTTTTGCCATCATATGGGAACGTTAGATGAATGAATTTTCCATAAAATTATTTATTATACTTTATGAATGAAAGCATATGGGATTTACATTATATATAGTTTTTTCAATTTGCTTCAATGATACTCACAATGAAATTATATAATATAATCTTAATCAATATTAAAGTTAAAAAAGTTAAAT